ATATCTTATTCTACATTTTCTTTCACTACGTGTACTTCAGGGTGGATATAGCTCACTAGCAGCCTTACACCGAGGACCTATCCACGTCATCATTTACCCAGAATGCTTTGTGTGTAAATAAAATGGCCCCGTCTGTGTTAAAATATATTTTTAAAAATTTACAAAACTAAACAGCCTACAGTATTTTTACAGTCTTTTTTTACAGTTAAAATAAATGTTTATCAAATAAAGTCTAATGTTACAACCAATAATGGATCCCTTTAAAATGTTGTGTTCAAACAGACATACATCTGTTATTTTATTCTCATCTGCTCAAGAGAGAAGAACAAAGGAAAAAAGTCAGGTTTATTTTAACCCTGGATGTTAAAATTAAATGACAGTTCAGAAATCATCTTCAAATCACAGTATGATAGTACACACTTTAAATAAAGTACCTTTAAAAGGAAAAATCATGTTAATGATTATTTTCTGTTCTTTTATAATGAGTCATAAAAGATTAAAGCAGACTGTCGTGTCAGCGTTATCTGCCTGACACGAACAGATTATTGAGCTAATATAGAATCTGTTTCTATGAAGTCTTTTTCAGAATAAAGTTCAGTTAGTCAGGAGACATGACCCATGGTGGTCAAACGGTCATGTCAGGGTTCACGCCTGTTCATGCTACATTGGTCAGAAGTTCGTGGGACTGTATGTTTATATCGAAAGCATTCGGACGCTGCATTTTGCTTCAACTGCTCGCTTCAAAAAACCAAACAAAATAAAAACATACTCACTTCCAGAAGCCGACTGTTATAAGCTATCCAAAAGGAGATATTTATAAAGATAGTCAAATGGACAAAAACTCATGGATGGAGATAAAACAGACACTGTGCACAGATGAAAACTGTTGAGCTTTTACCAGGACAGATTTGTGGACAAATAACGTTGGGTGACTGGTCTGTGGTTTATTAATTTTACACATTGTAGACTCCAGCAGGAGGAAACCCCATGCAGTGACATACCACAGTGGGAGGGGTTTCCAGGAGCTCAGCACTGTGTATCTAAGGGTCTATGAAGGGTGTGCACAAAAATGAATGTTACTGCACATCGTTCAACTGTTTGCCGATTGACCGTACTGAGCGCTTGACCCTTCCTTGACTTCTTATGAGTGAAAAGAATCAATTCTGTACTGTTTGGATTGACAGAAAGTTCCTGCTCCTAGTACCATCTGGATACTATGTTTAGTCACCTTTGCATTAGGTTACATACAGTACACACCCAGGCCGAAGCCTTCTATAAGTATGATCATGTCATCTGCATACGCTTGTATATGGAGTCTAGATCTACTCACTTAGTAGGCTGTCTACAACCAGGAGCCAGCACAGCCAGCCAAGTTAACAGGTATCCACAGTCCCCTACAGTACAAGATGCTTTCCTTGTCCAAACCATGAAAATTAATCTTTATGTTCATCGCAGAAATAGAACTTCTGTGGGTTTTTAGGGAATCTTTACACCTCTTCATGTCAGTACAGTATTCTGAATAAAAGCCTGTTGCATGTAAATGCTCGTCACGATCGGATTAATTAATGTTGTGCCCATAATTGATACATTTGGATTATTTAATGCAAATACGTTTTAATCCAATCAAATAATTTTGTGCATGTAAACATAGCTAATAAATAGTTTAAGTGTTTGAGTGGATGTTGTTGACTTCATGTATGTATATTTTGCCCCCCCCCCCCCCCCATGTAAACTTTTCTAGATTTGCCACCGAAGGGACTGCAGCTTTTTGTCTTTATATTTGTATCTTTTGAATCAATCCTCCCTGCCATTTCTTAAGCATTTGTCTTTGCTTTCTTGCTCTGTAGCCAGGAAGTTTGAGATGCAGCAGCAGCAGCAGCAGCAACAGACAGAGAGTGTGCAGCTCTCCATGGAATGAGAGGATGGTCCTCTTCAACCCCTGAGAGTTTAAGCCTCTACTGGTGGCATGTGTGAAAGGACTTCCAGTGTGTAAAAACTCTGCTCCCATCTGCAGAGATGGCATTTCGTCTGAATTTGTGTTCCCTGATCATCATACTTAATAACCACAGCTGGACGGGTGAATAAGAAGTAGAAGGTTCTGAAAGAAGTGTTGGATGTTACAGGACTGTCACACACAAAGAATGCAGGTACTGTCCTGTTGCACAAACCTGGAAATGTTTCAGATGAACTTTTATTAAAGACTGAGGGGAAAATTGTCAAGAATTTATTGAACATGTAACATGCTGGTGATATGATGATGTAAAACATTATGGTTCATTTAGTTAATGCTGTTCCTTTGTGTTTGTTTATTTTCTTTAACTTTTGCATGGAATGTGAGAGTAAAGACACAGATGTGAATGTTTAGCTTTCTAGATTATTTAACTAAAGTAGAATTAGGTTTACTTTCCACCATTAGGCAGGTGGGATTAGCCCCCTATGGCTTGAAGTCAATGGAGCCATTTGACAGGTCACACTTTGTTATTATAGAAACCTTTTAAAAGCTCAGTAGCTGTATAGATAGTCAGTTTCATTCTGCTGATAATTGTATGACAGTACCTTGTCTGTATATGGACTCCTTGCTGCAAGTAAAGAGCTCAGTAACCAGATCTGCTGCTTGTTTTAATTCTTTGTGTAAAGTGTCTTAATAATCAATTTATCCAACAATCTTGGGGGCTTGTCCGGGATTCCAACATCTCTCTGAAGAGGAGCCTGGTAAAGAAGCCTGTGCTTATTCTTTTTGTGGACACTGAAGAACCACCTGTCGTCAGCCATCCCAGTAAACGTTTACAAATGTGTGATTGAGAGCATCCTAACGAGCTGCATCACAGTCTGGTATCCTCTGTTGCTGAGCACCAATCACCGCACTGGTTGTAAATACTGCCCAGCGCATCATTGGATCTCCTCTCTTCCATTGAGGATGTGCAGAGGAACCGTTGTCTGTGACGATCACGTTGAAGGACTCCTCCCAGCCTGAACAAGGACTGTTCTCCCACCTTCCTTCAGAATCCACGGGACAAAGACCAGCAGATTAAGAAATGGCTTTTTCCCCAGAGCGGTGTCCTTACTGAACTCTAACCCACGCTGATCCCCACTCACCAACTGATCCGTACCGTACCTTGAACACCCCCTCATCTGCCCCCTATGAGCAGTTATTGTACACTCCATGCACTGCTAAATATTTTGTGTATATACACACACACACAGGTTTGTTTATATATCCTGTGGTTTGACTTTTATTAATTTTCTGGTAATTTTATATCCTAACCCTGACCATTTACCCTAAAATTAACCTCACAGGTACCTACCTGACCCTAAAACTAACCTAAACTCAATTCACACCTTGGTCCTACACCAAGACCCCCCACCTGTAATTAGCATCCGTACCCGTGGATACTGGGCTTTGGTCCCCACAATATTTTATGGGTTTTGTTGTTTGTAAATGTGCAAATTTGATTAATTGAAGTTAAATAATTTAACATTTAAGCCACTGAGTCCTCTAGGAGAGACCAGCTGCTTCTCGTTGAGCACAAGAGCACTCTCTTTTCAACAGACTGACTGTTAGTTCAGAGATGTTAGTTAAAAAGGAAGGTTAGTGAAGCACTGCCAGGTGTTTGTCTTAAACAAAACTGATGACATCTGTACAGTCGTGCAGCTCGTTCTGACCTGCTCTCTGCTGAGCGCACTTTAAAGAACAAAAAGAACGATTTACTGAAAACTTAAAAATGAATTATTTATTTTAAAACATTCATTATAATGACTCAGATAAAAATAATTATAAAATGTTTCATAATAAAGCTTAATCATAATGCTGATTTTAGTTAAGTAAAATATTTAAACTTGAAAATATACACTCACCGGCCACTTTATTAGGTACACCTGTCCAACTGCTC